TTAAAAATACATAAAAGTAAGATAGCCTCTCTGAAACTCCATCTGTCCGGTCGGAGAAGGTCAAAACGTTGTCGTTTTAGTAGATTGGATTTCTGAAAATTAATTGGAGAAAAGGAACATAATATCTCTTCCATAACTGAAACTAGAGGCTCACATTGGCCACTCACTTGTCACCTCCCCCACCTTCAGTTTTCTTCAACACAAAACGTTCTTCCAGTTTCTACTTTCTGCGACACTCTAAACTTTCACTTCAAAATGCAGCTTCTTCATGCTCCCTCTTGTCTACACCTATCCTTTCGAAGCACTAAACAACATCCGAAAGAAGGTAGTTTTCTTTATCTTCTACAGTTCTGTGCACAGCTTCAGTTTCCCCTAAAACCATTTTTGTTTCCCCCTTGTAGGATTGCTTTCAATAGAGAAACAAGCTCGACCATTACCTCCCAAATGCTCCTTCCAGACTCAAAAGCTTCAAGGGTCAATATGGGTATCACATAAGCGGCCAAATTTTAGCTGCTTCACAACTGAAGCTGCCTCTGCTGAAGGTAATGCTCTATCTCGTCCAAGGCAAAACCCAGAAGCCATTTTTTCAGCTTATTCTAAAATCCCATGTGTTGTCTGCTTTTTGTTTCGGGTCAAAGAGGTTGTTCTTGACATTCATGTTTAGTCCTGTCAGACAGTTTGCTTGTCGCTCCTGAAACAAAGGAAAATGGATAAAGAAGCTTATTACTCCTGGAGCAATTAATCTCTTTGCTGTTTGAATTTATTTTGTTGAATTAGTATAACATATGTGTATGGATAAGTTTTCAATTTCTATGTGCATTCCTTTGTTCTTCTAGTTATTTATATTTACTTAGTCAACCTGAAAAGTTAATATTATAAGGCTTTGACTCAGAAGTTTCTTTTTCCTTGAGCTTCAGCAATCTCAATTGGAACGGCTGACGATGATGTATTAAAGGCTTTGTCTCAAATTATTGATCCGGACTTTGGAACTGACATTGTATCATGTGGTTTTGTGAAAGATTTGAACATTGATGAAGCTTCAGGAGAGGTCACTTATGGCATCGGCTTGAAGATTTCACAGTATTACATTTTGAAACTATAATATTCTCATTGAGATATTTTATTATTGTATTTCAGGTTTCCTTTCGTTTGGAGCTCACAACACCAGCATGTCCAATCAAGGACATGGTAAATGACACAATCACCATTGTTTGATCAAGAACTGACGTATGTTTGAAATGGTAGACTTTTGTTTTGTAAAAACTCACTGAAAACTAACTAGTAATGAGAACATGTTGATGACTTTGGAAATTTCACTTTTCTTCCTTTCCAAGTTTGTATTGTGAATTATTTCTCATCCACATGATGCTGTTTGTTACAATCATTAAAGCATTTCCTACAATCTATGTTGTTATCTTTGTCTCTTTGTGTTGTATGTGCTGTTCAATAGATATAATGCTCAAGTCTAACATTGACATGTGAAATCATAGCATGATTGCTATTGCTTAACAGTTTGAGCAGCAAGCAAATGAGGTCGTGGCTATGCTTCCCTGGGTCAAGAAGGTCAATGTGACCATGTCAGCGCAACCAGCCAGACCTGTCTTCACCGGGCTACTTCCGCCAGGGCTGCGGACAATTTCAAATATTGTGGCAGTTTCAAGTTGCAAGGTATGCTTTCTGTGCAAACACTTGAATACTTTGGCACTGCTGTGTTTCTCCGAAAGAAATTTAAACAAATTAATACATAATATCTTGAATTAGAATTTATTTTCTTATCAACATTCCTCTACAGGGAGGTGTGGGAAAATCAACAGTTGCTGTAAATCTTGCATATACTTTGGCTGATATGGGGGCTAGAGTTGGTATCTTTGATGCTGATGTTTATGGGCCAAGTTTACCAACAATGGTCTCCCCACAATACAGATTGTTAGAGATGGTACTATTCAGAACTTCTAATTGATTTTTCTTGGACTTAAATACTGCAATTATGACTCTTTAAGAGTTTACTGTAGAATCCAGAGACAAAAACTATCATTCCAACTGAATACCTAGGAATCAAACTGGTATCTTTTGGATTTTCTGGACAAGGTCGTGCTATAATGCGAGGTCCAATGGTTTCTGGGGTCATCAACCAACTTCTGACGACAGCTGAATGGTATGATTTTCTTGAGTATGGATTCAAACAATAAATGGTTTGATTTTCTTTAGTGTGTCAACTAAAAATTACATATTGTGCACAATATGCAAATGGTAAGATTATGTTTTCTTGGAGTTGTTTATGAACATTGGTGGAGGAAAAAGGGATTTACATGTTGATTTTCTAGTGCTCCATTAAATATGCTACATTTACTTGGGGTGTGGGCTTGATTACATGATTGCTTTTACTTTGTAGGGGAGAACTTGATTATCTTATTATTGACATGCCTCCAGGAACTGGTGATATCCACCTTACTTTATGCCAGGTTATTTTTGATATTTTTGCTTTTATCTTGATTCATGTTTATTTGGATATTGATAGCTATGTGGTGACATGCTTTTTTTTGTTTCTACATTTTACATGGGAAATAATCTCCAAAACCTTTCTGAATCCAAATATTTCTTTGTTTAATGTTTGTTGAAATGACAATACCAGGTAGTCCCATTAACTGCTGCAGTTATTGTTACAACCCCTCAGAAGTTGTCATTCATTGACGTTGCAAAAGGGGTTCGCATGTTTTCAAAGCTTAAGGTTTCCTTTTCTTACTCTAAAATTACTTTAGAGTTGCTTGATGAATTCACTTATCTTAAGTACCTAAAAAATTGTATAGAGTTTCTGATCTTTATACATTCATGATGTTTTTGTGAATGTAGGTGCCATGTGTTGCTGTAGTTGAGAATATGTGCCACTTTGATGCTGATGGAAAACGCTATTACCCATTTGGTAGAGGTTCTGGGTCGCAGGCATGTTATCTTGTAGTTAATTTCTTACTTTATAGAAATTAGAACAGTCTATGTATGGACAATCGGAGAATTACATTGCTATTTTGCATATAAATAATCATTTCTGATAAGTCGGTTTCTCTCATTACAGGTCGTGCAGCAGTTTGGAATCCCTCATCTGTTTGAACTTCCAATTAGACCAACAGTATGTCCTAAGATAAATCTGCTAACAATGTTTGTATGGTGATATATATTATAGTTGCCTACTTGAAATGACTCTTCTATAATTTGATCAAACAATATTGCTGCATAATCCTTTCTTATGTGTTCTGATGGTCCTAACTTTCAAGCTTCATATTTATTGCATTAACAGTCAAGCACCATAATCTGTCTTAGGAAAATTTAACTTCAACTTGTGAAAGAATCCCGAAATTAGTTTACATTTGGACTTGAGCATCTATATTTTATTTACACAAGTTCCAATCTTTCTGAAGCAAGCCTTAATATTCCTACATGAAGACCAGTAGTCAGTCATATTTAAAATGTTAGAATGTCTAGGGTCATGTTTCATGACATTTATTTGGACAGCTTTCTGCTTCTGGGGATGGTGGAATGCCAGAGGTGGTGGCTGATCCTCAAGGTGAAGTTGCCAAGATATTTCAGGACCTTGGAGTATGTGTTGTACAACAGTGTGCCAAGATTCGCCAACAAGGTGCCTACCTACCCTACTTTCTTGCAAAATATTTCTGGTGCCAAGACATTGTATTAATTGTAGGGAAGAAATCTCTCAATATCAAGAAATGTGTAACCCACAAAAAAATCATATATTACTTTGTCTTAAACTTCAGTTTATTAATAAGCCTTGACTAGATGCAAAATCCACCTGCTACTGTCAAAAACTGTTAGTATGTATGCTACTGTCTAAAACTGTTAGTATTTATTTCCATGATATGTTTCTTTTCAAGTTCTTCTTTTCTTTTTTTTTTTTTTTCTGACACCTCTCAGATTGCTTTCATGAAAAGAAATGTTGATCCTTTGTCTCTTTTGTTCCAGTATCGACAGCTGTCACCTATGATAAATCTCTCAAGGCAATCAAGGTGAAGGTACCAGATTCAGAAGAAGAATTCTTTCTGCATCCTGCAACTGTGAGACGTAATGACCGTTCTGCACAAAGTGTGGTATGTATGGAGTTTCTTTTGCACAAATACTTTATACTTATTTAAATGTTTCTGTAGGAAACAATTCAATTTTTTCACGGAGTATAATAAAGTTGGTATTAAAGCTTCGGCAATACCTGAACTGCATACTATTGTCTCAAATATGGGGTAAATGAAGATAATATCCTTTTTGTCAAAGTTTTGGTTGCTTGTGCTTAACTTTGGATTTGATCAAAGTCAACAGATTAATCTTAGATGGAAGAAACATTTGGGATTCCAAACTAGAGAATTGACTACTGATTTGGAAGAATCTAAATATTGACTTTTCTCCAGTCTTTTGTTGTGCTGTCATCATAAACTTAACGTCTGTATGCTTCTCTCTCTCTTTTAAACCAGGATGAGTGGACTGGAGAACAAAAGCTACAGTACGGTGACATTCCAGAAGATATTGAACCCGAAGAAATTCGACCTATGGGAAACTATGCAGTGTCGATAACATGGCCTGATGGATTTAGTCAGGTAACTTTGACTTCATATCATTTGATATTATTTGTGACAAATCAACTTCATGACTTTACCACCCATGCCTATCACAATGTTACTTATGGCGATTTTACGCCATTACTACCAAGAAATTTGCTCTCCAATTGTAGCACGGTTACAGAATTAGTTCTAAACCTGAAAATGACGCTTAAAGGAAATACAATTACACCTCATTCTGCTTGTTAGCTTAACCCTTACCAATCGCAAGCCACACGGTGGGAAGCATTAACAATTCAGCTGGAAATTATTAGGGAGGGTGAAAATAAGCTGTAAACAGGAGACTGATTTCTAGTTCTTGTGAACGCTAGTTATAAATTCCCATTACCTAAAATCCCATGTTCCCCTTTTAAATGTGTTCCATGCTATTTTTAATGTTGTGCAACATGCATGCCTGGACTTTTGCTACCCAACCTTTTAGATAGGGAAGCCCGATCGCTGCTTCAGTGTGGTTGGATGTTAATGCATTCAAGCATCACAAACAGGGAAAAATGCTGAAATGATCATTCAGCATTTTAGCAGGAAAAAACGTGCTTTTTTTTTTTTTTTTGTGTGTGTGTTTTATTGTCTCTATTTGATTTATTCATCATTCTGCAGATTGCTCCCTATGATCAGCTCCAAACAATAGAACGGTTGGTTGATGTTCCTCAACCAACTTCCATTCAAGCATGAGAATATTCCTCACTTCTTCCAGATTCTTCTCTTCAGACAACAATGGCAACTTGACAGAAGTAATTCAAGGCATTTGTCTTCTTTGTTCTCCAACCAAAATGGCGGGACAAGTTTAGTGCAGAATCGGAACGAACTGTCTTAGACACAGTTAAATCAGTTGTAAGAACCTATGGATGTAGTAATGTGAAAATATATAGAACCCAACAGCCCTCTCTTCTAACACATTTCCACCCATGTAGTATTGATTCTAGACATTGAATATCACACAAAAAAGTGGAAATTGTAACAAAAAGAAAGTATACTTTTCTATGGTTTTACATTTGCTTCCCCTAGAAATGAAGAGCAATAAATTTCATTCAAAATTGAAGGCGCGGCACCAAAGCGCAGAAAAATCAACTACCAAAGCCGGAGAGCATTAAAAGAAGGGCTGCTGGTTGTTTTATGCATTAACAGCATTAGGAACCGGCCTTTAAATGGGCATTGTTTTTTCTGTCTGAAGACATTAACTTCACAATTCTGAGGCTGCAAGGAACTGTTAATGTCAGTTTCTTCAATGTTCGAACCAATTCGCGATTTCTCACTTTTTTAAGTTTTGCCTTTTGGCTTTTAATATATCAAACTAACTTTCTGTCTTTCCAACTAGTCAATGCTCTGGCTCTTCGTTGATGCCATGGGATCCTGTACTTGATAGAATCCATTGCCCCGTCCAATTTAGAAGAAAATTAACAAAAGTAGCTTTAAGAAATGGGAGAACCAAAAAGGGAGCTTTAAAATTTGACAATGGACAACAATTATACGGCCAAAGGAGATGACGGTGAGGTTAGGTAGGTTGCTGTATAAAGGCATCCGAACTAAGACTAATTGGCAAAAGTTGGAGAGAGACAAATAAACTTATAATTACACATGTTAACCTCAACTTAA